GGGGGGGAGGGTAGGAGCTGTGTCCTCGCGCACCAGCATCGAGAGATAGTGCCGCGCGGCGGTCGAGGTGTCGCGCCGGGTGCGCTCCAGCGCCAGGCGGGTTTTGGCGCACGCGAGCCCGGCAGGCGCCCGGGCGAGGATGGGGCGCAGGCCGGCCATGCGCCGGCGCTCCAGCCCGGCAGCCAGAGCCAGCGACCCGTCGGCCCGACTTTCGCAATACATTCGCAGGTGGTCGTGTGCCCGAGTCAGGCCGGTCATCAGGCCAGCAGCCGGGGCTTTGGCCACCTGGGTGAAGAAGGCCCGGTCGGCCATTTGCTGGTGGATGGTGCGGTTGTGTGCGGCCAGCGCGCTGGCCAGCTGGACCTCGGCCTCGCCAGCGCCGGCCGCCGCGCGGGTGGCATCAAGCAGCTGCCGGCAGTCATCGGCACTCCAATACAGGTCGGCATCGAAGTCCATGATGGTCGGCTGGCTGAAGCCGCCAGAGCCCACGGCCCCGGGGTCCGGGGCATCGCTACACCAAAAAAAAAAAAAACAAGACAAGCGGGATGGGGAGCGAGAGGGAGATGGAGGTGGAGATGGAGGTGGAGGTGGAGGTGGAGGTGGAGGTGGAGGTGGAGGTGGAGGCGGAGATGGTGATGGAGATGGAGATGGGGATGGAGATGAAGAGGGAGAGAGGGAGATGGAGAGAGAGAGAAAGGGAAAGGGAAAGGCAAGGAGAGAAAGGGGGGGTCAGAGATACTGGGACATGGGACTGGCACGCCGCATAGCGAATGGGGCGACATACGCAAATCGGAAGGTAAAGGCCAGGGGCTCCGGCGGGAGGCTCGTGCCGCGGGACAGGCGCGACACCAGCGACTCAATGCGCACGGGCAAATCCACCAGCGGCAGGCGGGTGCCGACAGCCAGGCCGGCAGCGCCGGCAACATCCCCCCCAGCGAGCCGGGCCAGCGCCGGGGCCACGTCCGTCTGACTGGCCGGGGGGGCCAGGGCCGCAGCCAGAGCCCCATCGAGGCGGATGGCCGAGCGGTCGTCCGAGCACTGGAGCTCGGCCAGGCTAATGTACCGCCAGACGGCCGAGAAAATGTCCGCCCGAGTTGCCGATGCACGGATTGTCTGATGGGCAGCGCGGCTGCTGGTGCACGCGTCGACCGCACGCAGGGGAGCGGCCTCGCCCAGGGCGCCAACCTCGTCGGGCGTCAGCAGTGGCCCAAGATGTCCATCTACCAGGGCCAGGAGCTGGCGCAGGCCGGCCGGCAGGCGGAAGCACTCCGGTGCCAGGGCCGGCCGAAGGTGGACCGCCACATGGATGGCGGTCGGGGCTGGCCCGACGCGTGTTAGCACCACGCCGTCCGTGGCGGGTGTGGGGGCGGCGCCGGCCGGGGGCGACCACTTTGTGTGTGTGTGTGTATGTGTGTGTGTGTGTGTGTGTGTGTGTGTAGATGTCGTGCGTGGCAGCCGCGTGTTAGCCGAAGCAGGAGAGGAGGAAGGGGATGCCAGACAGGCGGGGCGGGAGGCAGGGACAGGGGAGGGATGTACCTCGATGTCGGCCGAGGTCAGAGCCACCACCGGCGCCCCATGGCTGTGCTCCACCCGCAAGAGGACCTTGTCCACGAGCGAGGTGAAGCGAGGGAAGGCGCCATCCGGCCGGCCGGTGGTCGAGTTCAGCACGCGCCCATCCAGGCGGAACTGCCAGGCTGCCTGACCGCGGGCGGTGCGCATGGTCGACGACGCGGCACTCAGGCGGATGGTCCGCGAGACCTGCATTTTTGCGTTGGGAGGGGGGACGGAGGGGGTGTCAACATGCGAGAGGGGGGCTGGGCCGAGGGGAGGGAGACGCCCGGGAGAGTGCGTACGGTTGGCAGCGCGCGAATGGTCTCGTGCGCCTCGATCGAGTGGCGCAGGCGCAGACTGGCCGCCTGGCGCTCGACCTGGACCAGGGTCTCAAAGAGCCGGGCCTCCGGGGCGAAAAGCTCCACCCCGCCGGGGAGCGGCATGTTCAAAGGAAAGGGCCCATAGCTATGGATGTGCGAGGTTAGCCGGGGGGGGGGGGGGGGGGGGGGGGGGGAGCCGCGGGATGAGGGGGAAAGGAGGTGGAGGAGGGCGCACTGGATCGAGGAGTCGATCGGCGGGGCGGCGGACGTGGCAGAGGTGCTGAGGCCCGCGGTGCCCTGGCGCCGGGGGAAGTACTTCAGGGCGTCGACCGGCGCATCCGACTCGGTGGGCGCTGCGGCTGTCCGAGGCTCCATCGGGGGAACAGCAGGG